ATCCAATTTTTAGGTTTAATAAAGAGAATTTTTTTGATTAGAACTGTTTACCTAGATTGGTAAATTTGAAAGTTAAAGTCATTCTGCTATCTAAGAAGATTTGATTATATTTATCTAGACCAGAAAACATATTTAAGGTGCGCTACAAATCCGATATTTTATATGTTGATTATGTATCAGTTTTATGTATGTCATTAATCTGTCAATTTTAATATTCAAAACTGATATATATTTTAGCTGATACATATATATATATATATATATATATATCAGCTAAAATCTACAACTTGGAAAGTTTTTAATTCTTATAGAGAATAAAAACAAAATCTGGCTCATTATTCTTCTAAGCATCATAAAACTTTAAAATGGGTATAAAAGAAATTCATTTTTACTTTAGCACACGCCAGATTTTAAATTAATATGTGTTTTATATGCACAATTTTTACTATATCTGATAAACTAAAATAAACTAAAAACTAAAGTAAAGTTTTGTAATCTCAATAAAATGTCCCATTGATGGTGATAAATGACTTTTTTGTAGCACCCATCTTCTTGGGAATTCAAGCTCTTAGAAAGGGGGAACAGGAAAATGTCGCTCTCTTCGTGGATTAGATAAGAAAGGGGGTCTTCAATTAAATTTTGCGCAGTTCGTATCCTACCCAAAAAGCTATCTATACTTTTAAAAAATTAAAATATTTCCCTTTCAATATAAGAAGAATTCGAACTATGAACTATTAATATAAAAATGGTTGGGTTTATTGAGATTACGGCAAAGCACACTAGGGCTTTCTGCCTAAGGGAAGGAATGCCTTCGTGGAGGACTTTCTAATGGAAATTGGCTCGTATACGCGTTACACTTGGGGAAAACCACGAAAACGCCCATGCAGCCAGTCCGTTCGCGGGATTCGAACCTCGGACCGAACTACCAGTGTTCAGCGACTTTACCGCTCGGCCGCTGGTGGGCTACAATATGAAAATGAAACCAAAAAAAGTCTGATTTCGTGTCAGAATAACTATGTTAGAATAGAGCATATATAAATCTAATATATATCCTAAGTCGCGCTTTCGAGACATGAAGAACGCAATTTGAATTTTGTCAATCGGCCCAATAGAACGGGAGATATAGAACTGTCCCATTTTTTTTTGCGCAGTGTTAATAAAATTTCGCATATGATCTGAACGGTCCTATGCTGTTATACGTTTGCTTAAAACATTTCAGAAACAACACAGAAAAATGCTTTAACAACAAATAACTCAGGTTTTTTTTTTTTTTTTTTTTTTTTTTTTTTTTTATATTATTATTATTATTATTTCCAAAAACTAGGTTAAATATTTATGCTACTAAATTTGTGAGATTTTAAATATGCTGAATGCATCACAGATTCTTAAAGTACACTTTTTATTAAATTTGTTGGAAGGACATCTCTTCTTGGTGCTGAAACTTGAGATTTTCGTTACTGGTTATTTACAGATTTCTGTGTATGACCACAAACCTTTCATGCATCAATAACATCATTTTGTAAAATGATGCAAATAAATGAACTAAATCTTTCGCATCAATACATTAAAAGAATATTAAAAGATAAAACTTATATGTATTTAATTGATTTACTGAATTCCGCGAGTTATAAAAAACAACATTCTTTAACGGTTTTTCATGTTCGGAAGCATTCCAGAATTTTCGAAATATTTTCTGTCTTTAATTAGAAATTATCTGTCTCAACAAAATAAAGCTGATGATATTTAATATTTTTTCCTTCAGACAGACAATAGTCTTGAGTTAAACCATGTAACTGAACTGAAATTATGTGCTGCTCAATATTATAAATTAAGTCATAACATTCAATATTGATTTTATTCGGGTATGCTTAATAAAATGATATCTTTATTTTTAAATTCTAGCATAGTTTAGATTTAGAATATTTAGCTATATCAGCAGCAAATTTCCATCAGTTTATTGATTTGATTGCCAATGATTGACATGATATTTGGACTTAATCACATGGGAATTTATTGATGTTGCTAAACAACCTCATCTTTTGTGTAAGGAAGATGAGGTTATTAGAATTGTTTAAGCTTATTTGTGTTTATTCAGGTACAGGCCAAACATCTCAACATGATATAAAAATTTATCTTAATAACACACGATAATACACTGATGGACAAAATTAAGAGATGGAATACTTTTCTCAAATACATCGAGAAATACTTGATGTAAATAAATTAAATTACGTATGGATATAGCTTACTGTATGGCAATAACGTATGCAAAACAACAACGAAAATGCCTTCATTAACATAAGTCATGGCCAAGAGTCCAATGTTGTCCAAACTTGAGGTTAAAAGATGACAGTGAAATTGTGGCTAATATGGTATGTAGTCATCTCTGACAGACAGACGAAAAGCCATGCTGTTAATAAGACAGTTCAAGAGCGCATGTGAGAAGAGTCGCACCCACACCTCCACCAGTCGCACCTACTCCTCAACCACCAGAGCAGTTTTTAACTCTGAATGGTTCTGTGTGGCAGTTGGCATATCGCAGTAGTCTTCCCAACAGCATCCCAAGCATGTTCAATAGGATTAAAGTCAGGAGATTTTGTTGGCCAATCCATTCGGTGAATATCCTCGTTTTTCAAGATAATCATCAACCAGGTGGACCCTATATGGTCATGCATTGTAGTTCATAAAAATTTCAGGGGTGCTGTTGCGCAGCCAACAGCACCCCTGAAAAGTCGCATATAGCGCTCTGGTACCGCCTTCTTGTACCTCTGGACATTCACAGAACCAGTGTCAAACACATAGAACAGTGTGCGGGTATTTTGCATGATCCCTATCCAGACCATCACTCCTCCACCACCATAATGGTCTCTTTCTATGATGTTGCTGGGATGATATCGGGTTCCATCTTTCCTCCGTATCAATAATCGTTGAGAATCAGGTTATAGACTAAATCTGGACTCATACATGAAGAAAATGTTAGCCCACTAAACCTGTGTCCATTGTTTGTCTTGCACGCACCATTGTAAACGCTCTCTTTTGTGGGAGAAAGTGAGTGGGATACAAATAGTGAACTTTCCAGCATGCACTCCTCTCTCATTGAGGCTTCTTTCTGGCGACTGCCTTCCTTGAAAAGGATGTTTCTGCGGCAGTAGTGCGTTCACAAGGCAATTGTGTCGCTATAGACGTCCTCTGGCACCTGGCTGAAAGTCTAAATACCAGTCGTCATTGCTTACTATGGCTCTCGGGCAACCTTGTCCTGTCTTCTGGACACTGTCCAGCTGTTTTTAAACTGATTCCACAAATTAGCGATGACACTTGGTGTTACATCTACTAGTTCTCCTCAGCTTGGGACTGCCCTGCCTCAAGTCTACCCACGATTCTCCATCGTTAACCTTCGTCTAAGCGATGACACGTACTCATTTTATCTAAAAAACAGCAAGATTATTCAAGACAGATAATAAAAACCATTACTATGTTGCAGAGCGGAATGAGTTGAGCAGCTGTATGCGGATTTTTATGCCTCCTGCTGGCGTAGCGGGGCCCACAGAAATGCAAATAACTGTCAAGGTTTTGTGTGGTATTTTATTAGAAATATGGGAAAACGTTTTCCATCTCTTAATTTTGTTCACCAGTGTACATTCCAGAAAAATGTAACAAAGGAGGCAGCTTAAAAATGAATAACTTGCAAGTAAAACTGACGTATAGGAAACTAACAATTGCTTGATTTTTTTCCTTCTTTTTTTGACTTCCTTATAGAGGACTTTGTGATTAACTGTTAGCAAGTTGTAGAAAATCGTTCAATCTCGTCTTTCGTGTGTGATCCTTTTCCATCGCTTACTTGGAATCGAAGAAGACGATATTGTCTAAACCGCTAACACTTAACTGCTTCTGCTAAAATAAAATTTATACCAATTGTTTTTAGTTTATTTACAGCCAATAAGGAATGTATTCATACCTTCGCCAATAAGGAAGGTATTGAATCACCAAATAATAAGGTATGAATCGTTATTTTATGTAATTACGGATACATAGCATATGGTCTGAAATCTTCCAGTTAAAAAGTGTGATTCAGGAATATATTACTCCTTTGTTTAATTTATGCAATAACCTTTAATATCGCTTTGATGATAAGAAATCTGAATCTCTGTTTCCTTCGTTATATGCATATAGAAATTAAATTAGCATGAAAACTTTGTGAATTTTTGTAATTGGATAAAAAGTAAAGACAACTTAAAAGTTGTCACAAAAATGCAACAACACTTATTTTTAGTACTCTTCAAAATTGCATGCAGTGTTATAAATGCTTGGTGACTTAATTCTATCACTTTGTAATCGAAATAACATTACCTGATACGGAGCTGAAGCGTTTCACTGTTTTAAACTAGATTCATAACTATAGTCAATTTGCTTTAATCACCATGCTACAGATAAGGTTTTTTGCAAACAAAATAACAGCATTTATCATGATGCTTTGATGAGGCTGATCTATCATGTTCCACGAAATTCCACTCAGTGATAATGTTATTTTTAGAAATTTTTATTCATTACTTTTTCTAAATAATTTCACTACTTTTGTCTCCGTGAAGTCTAGATATTGTATATTTTAACATTGTTTACGGATGGTTTAAGTTTTAGATGACAGTAAGAAGGAAACGAATGCCATCAAGTTGATTCCACCATTATATCTTCTTACTACACATATTACTCTATTCTGCTACACAAATAAAAGCAGTGAAATAGTTTTCTTTACATATCAACACGTCATTTAACCAAGTAAGTGTATCTGGTACACTAGTCATCTGTTATGGGATTCATTAATGCTGCTCGAGGAAGGTTGCTTAAGTAGCTGAAGCAAGATACTTAATTAGATGACAAGGAGCACTTTTTGATTTAATTAGCCATATGCAACATATTATTTGTAGCCTAAATCGCTATTTCAAAAATTAGATCAGTTTTACATTGTGATTTGGTTGTAATTATATTCTATTTTGTTCCAACAGTTGCTCCAATCTGCAAGACAAAACCAGGAATTGTGCTAGGAGTTGCTCGACACGAGACTGTGAACATTACATGTGAAGTTGACGCAGATCCTGCTGACATCCGCTTTAGATGGACACTCAACAATACATTAGATAGCATGGACTTGCACGACTTTACGGCAGAGGGACGCATCAGCACTGTCCAATACACGCCACGTGCCATGCTTGGGTATGGAGTGCTGCAGTGCTCGGGTACGAATAGCATAGGTAGACAGAAAGAACCATGCGTATATCGCATTGTTCCTGTAGGTAAGTGTCGGCTTTGAGAATTACATATTTCAGTTGAGCTCTGTCCTTCGTTCTATTAGCTCAGTGGTGTTTCTGTGCACGTTCTGGCGATCATGATGGCAACATTTCAAGACATAGGAAAAGTTGAAAAGTATTTTATATTTTTAACTATATTGTTATTATTGTGCTTTATATGTATCAGAGTACTAGGACATAATTTGAAATATTTAATATTTGCAGAAAAGTTATAAAACCTTTACTTAGAGTAAAAGAGAAAATGAATAGTCTTAGAATATTGAACAGTTACGCAAGAAAAAGAGACAGAGCCTGAAGATTTATTTTTAATTTTCTTCCTATTTGCTATACAAAAATTATTGCATGTTTGTTATGTTTCTCAAATTGTAGATTTTCTTCATGGTATGAATGCATCATTCGTGTTTTCATGTGTTAAATATTTATCCTACTTTTCGATGTATTATAACAGGATTCAAGCCAGCATATACAATTAAACTCGTGTGTTAATACGGTCCTGATTAAGTTTTTTAAATTAGTCTACTCTATAAAATATCTGGTAGGTATAGATTTCTTAATTATAAAACAACAGAAATATATATACATTAAAGTACACGTAAATTAGATTTAATAGCTTTAAGAGGTAAAATATTTAGATATTAAAAAGCGAGAAAATGTAGAAAGGTGCCTTTTCCTTTTCAATAACTTCCACCTATTTCACATTTTCTACATCATCTATTTCCATTTATTTTATTTTGTTATCGAAAATACATGACGGAAATTTACAAAACTGATGCATACATAAAATGTAAACATATCATATCCCCTCTTGCATCTGCCATGAGCATAGCATACGAATCTATTTAGTGTTATAATAAATGAATTCAGTTAATATACAAAAGCTCCTGTATGTTATGCTCATGGAAAAATATAAAATAGTAATTCTTAAAAAAAAAAAAAGTTTTTTGTTTCAGCATAAATTTATTTTGCAAATTGTTATATACTGTTAATGTAATGAATATTTACTCATTATGTCATCATATAATCTAGTAAACAGTTAGTATATATATTCTTTTATATGTGCTAATAAGTATGTGCTCATTACTTTCATGCTTATATTCAACAAACACTTAATGCTTCTGAACTACAATAAACTCTGCCGTGGCTACCATCTCAGTAAGACGAGCACCTCTGAAAATAGCCAGTATTCCTGTAAGCATATTTAAACATTGGCACTGAGAGTCATTTTTCGAAGATAATCAAGTCCTACACGTTTGGAAGCGTAAATGGTCGTTTTACAGCAAGTTTATTCTCTCAGATATGTGCTATTATTTTATTAAAAAAAAAAAGATTTCGCTTTTTTTAAAGGTTAGCAGTGACGATGAATATTGAAATACATATTATAAAATCAAGCTTGTGAAACTGTGTAACAAATGAAAAATGAAATGGAAGTTGCAGCAATTTATAATTCTTTTTTCGTACAACCTTAAATATAAACACCGTTGTGTAGCTTTATTCTATATCCGCTGCGTTGAATACTGAGAAATAAAATTTCAGGAGTTACGTTTGTCCTAACTATGAATGATTAAGTGATTTGCAATGAATGATATATAAATGATAACTTTATTTGCATTAATTATTCAATGCTTATTGCAATTGAATGTTTTTATTAGAAGCTCTGTATGTTTCACAGTGAAATTCCTCAAATATATTTTTTGAAATCTACTAATAAATATAAGAACTTCTTTTATTCTTCAGTTATTTACATTTTATTCTGTTTCTAGTTTGGTTCATATGATTTCTTATTTCTTTAATATGCAAATACTTCTTGAAAAATTTATATCATACTTGAATATTTATCATTATTTCATAATTACATTCACAGCAGATGGCAATAAAAAATGCAGTGTGAATTCAATATAATTAAATCATGTACTCTTTAATGCTTTAAATTTAATTAAGGCAATCATATGCCTTAATTAAATTTAAAAGCTTTATTGTAAGCATTATTAATATCCAGAGATATTGTTTCAGATTTGAAAAATCATTTTAGTGGGACTTTTTGCCCCTCCTATCCATAAATAGTCATCATTTTTTTCCTAGTACTATATATATATTTTTCATGTAATAGGTTCGGACCTTTAATTTAACGGGGTATTAAATTATTATTAGTCTTTTCATATCTAAAATTTAAGTGGTTAGAAATAATTAAATTTAGAATTCATATTTTCAGCACTACGCCAAAGTGCGAATCTATAAATATATTTATTCAAGAAAAATGCATTTAAAAAGGCTTGGCGTGTGTTTGGTCTTATGAAAAATTTAGTTAGGATTACTTTAAAATAATTACGTACTTCATAGAAAAAAGCGAAAACAGCATTTCAAAATAGATTCGCGATTTTGCCACTGTATATGTGATAATAGAATCAATTTTTCTCGCCGTGAAAGCTTTGAAATCCCCCGTCTTTGCATTCCAGCATGCTTTTGGCTACATAATAAAAAGGGTCATGTTACAGTCGTAAATAATACAGAATCGGGTCTCAAACTGTCAGAGTAACAATAAATATCGAGGTTCACTGCTGTTGCTATCCATCTCCAAACATGAAACATATAAATAGAGCTACATACATGCTAATTACGTACATACATACAATACTATACATACAAATTAGATATACAGCCCTTTGACAAATACTGCTGTACGGTAGCAACGCCTACCCCTTGGCATTCTTTGATTAATGCTCTTATTTGGGACCTTTAGTAGAAAGATATTTTGCCTTTTTCCACTACTTTCCCAATTTAATTACATGACTTCATAAAAATACAACCCCACTTGAAGAAGCGCTCGATACGAGAGAAATTTGTAATTCATGTAAACAAAAAGGTTGGTAATAAATGAGCGTAATTTTCGGGGTTTACCTCATTCGAATGATTAGATATAAATGATAATTTAGCTAGTTCCTCTAGATTTTATTATCAGTAATATTTTGAGTACAACTGGACAATTCTGAATCTACAACCAGCGCTCATTTTACAGGATACTGTGTTCCTACGGAACTTTTGTAAATTGAATGGCATGAAAGAACTTATTATAGTGTAATACAATGGATTGTAAAATTTAAACAGGAGACGATATATCACCAAAAATGGAAAAGTAAAGCTTTGATTAACACTAGATTGCACACGAAGGTAGAAATGTGTTTATATGTGAAAGAAACGAACATTATGCATAGAAACTTTGTTTTAATTTGTTGTTTGTTTCCGCAAATTATATGAAGACGCAGCATCTGGGTCGTTAATAAATTGATATTGAGAGCTAAACCAAATCAAACGAAACCTGCATCAATAAGGTATATGACCGCCCCAGATTTGACACTAATGTACAGCGACAGCTTGTGCTTGCAGTGAGGTGATCAACCATCTCAAATGACCATTACTTCTTCAGGGCAGTTTGCAAGTGCCTGAGATTGACTGCAAGAGGTAAATATGCAGATATAGTATGCTTGAAAGCATATCGGAGATTTTGAATGAGGTTAAGGTTGAAGAACACGGCGGCCGCTTCATACGAGAAATGCCCTCTCCAAGTACAATGTGGCTCGAAGAAAACGGGAACTATCCTCCACAACGAGGAATTCAAAACCAACTGCTTCAGCGCAGAGTTAAGTGTAGGATTTCATTCCAATGCCACTGATCCATCACAGAACCATCTTTAAAAAACGTGCACCTAGTTGCAATATCCCATTGAAATTTCAGCCCACACTACGATGCTGCAACCTTTGTGCCTCGTCCTCTTCAGACCCTTATGTATATCATCTGATTCCAATTCAAATCTGAAATCGTCGTAAACGGGACATAAAGACAATATGAGACAGTCCAAATGAGACGTTGACGACACTGGCCCGTCTGGACTGGACGGTTAGAAGAGCACAAACACTTGGTACTACGGCGCGCAGTCCCTCCACGTGAAGTCTTCAGCACAGATTAGTGGCATGCATACTGTATGTTATCTTATGTACAGTATGCATGCCACTAATCTGTGCATGCCACTAATATATTTTATTATCTTAATAAGCGACGCTACATCGATGTAACAATTACGGAATTCGCTATTCGATTATGCTTGCCTTCTATAGCAGCATACTGATCTTTTGAAGAAACGGTAATTCTTAGTCTACGGGATACAGGTCTGTACACAACTGCTTGACTTGTTTGATATTATTTTCATATTCGAGAAATTAATTCCGTTAAAGATTATCGCCATATATTATTTTTAAAGAAATATTAATATTATTTTTAAAATATTATTTTTAAAGAAATATTTTTTAAAGAAATATTATTTTTAAAGAAATAATATGAGACATTCCTTATACATATATTACAACATATATTATTTTTAAAGAAATAATATAGGGAATATAAAGACTGTACCGGAAAATCTAAAACTATAATGTTTTAAAATATTCGGTGATTTTAAAAATTTTGGATTTTTAAAAATTTTGAATTTTATGTGGCGTAAGTGCAAAGAAAGTGATGTTTAATAACAAACTAAAATTCAAAACTTGTTGTCATCAGTAAGAGTCTACGGGCAGATAGATAATTTTCGAGCTCAGGCAGAGTATAATAAACATTAACAAATCCTTTTATGGCGATGTTAAAATTTGAATCCTTTCCCTGTTTCGTTAAATTTTGCTGTTGTGGTTGTTTTGGCTCATGAACAAGAAAGACCCGTTCAAATTGTTTAGTCTCGAAATTGTTTAGTTAAAAATCAACGGCAAACTAGAGTTGTTATGTGCTTAGTTTTAATCTTTAAGCAGATCTAGAGGCCTATCTAAAGACCAGGTCTGTACACATCCCCGACTGCCTTTGCGTATATCAGAACCTCTACATGGGTGTGAAAGTGTTCAGATTATACATAGAGATATATTTCCAAAAGAATATCTCGGAATTCTGGGGCAGCAAGACAATTAACAAATATACACATTACAAAACACATTTAATCTCTCCGAAAT